ATGTGCAGTCTTCATCAGTGTCATTCCCACTTCGTATACAGTTTAGTGGGGGGGGGGGGGTGCAGTTATCCACGGCCCATACAAATTTTAAAATTTTTATATGGACAACTGTCTACGCTGGGGGGGGGGAGGGTTAAGAATCCCAAAAAACTGTCTACGTAGTTAATGAACAGCCCCTATCTCCATGATAGGACTCCCTACTAAAATTGTTATGGTTATTTTGCTTAACGATGTGTTCGGGGTATCATCCAAACCATTTGTGGAATAGTTCTATAATTTGGGTTATCGTTCGTTTATGGTATTTTATTATTAGCGATGTCATCTTAAATGAAGCTTCCGGGGAAGAGCATTCCTTATTCAGCCTCTAGATGCCAGTCAGACGCTGTTTGATGGACAGACGCTCGAGTTGGCAAACCACCCAACCGGGTTCCATGTTTCAGCTGGAAGATGTTTGTAATCAAATGACTCGTGGAGACGTGAGGTAGGATCTTCCAGGTTATCAACTCACCATTTTGTAGCCCGAGTTTCACGAGGAGAACTTAAACATAAAATCAATTCTTTTGGGAGTTTCAGTTCCTATTGAATTTTTGAAAACGTCCTTTCTTCTCGATATTTGGTGTACCGACATTTCTACAAAATTAAATTTATGTTAAAATTCCAGAAGTATTATAGGCATTTCGGTTTGGATTTCTGGCAGCCACGACATTCATAAAGTTTCGATTTTCCTGAATTTCCAGAGGTTTATGGAGTTCCAAAGGTCTAAAGACAGTTCCTAGTACCAAACAGGAAAGGATTTAGCGGCTCCTGGGGTTCCAGAAGCTGACAGGAATTACGCAAATTAAGTTCATTAAATCCGTGGAGTTCAGAAAATCTCTGGCAAGTTCTTCCATTTCCCGGTACAAGTTTATGTTCGATTTGTTGCGTTAAGCAGTTTGGAAATGGAAGAGGAGGCACGTGCCTCATCGTTCCACCTATACGGAGAATACGGGTCCACCTCAAGGAATACTGCTAGCTCCTGCCATTTCTGGATTTCCTGGCCATCGTTGTTCTTCAAGTATTCGTTGAATCTCCAGTAAATTTTAATAACGCCCGGAGCTTAAGATGTCGTTGAATCTCCAATCAATTTTAAACGCTCAGTACGCTTGCCGCTCCTTGAATCCCAATACACAAAACTTTCGAATTAGCAGCTCCCCAACTGCTGAAACACTCGGAACCTCTCCAAGCTCACCAATGAGCAGGAAGTTATGCAGGTTTACAGAGTTCCTAAATTTTCGGATGTTCTAGGATTCCCAAAAGTTTCTGTAGCTATAGAGAACTGTTAAACGTCTATGGTGTCCCACTGTTCCCAGCGTTGGTTGGTTGGTTGTCTTTATTAAGGAGATTTTCAGAAAGACGCTGGTTCATCTCCGGGAACCCCTGAAGGGGTTTCCCCAAATTACAGAATTAAAAAATTAAAAAAAGTGTCCGGAGGGGGCACTTCTGAAAGATGGGGAGGCTCCAGAAGGGAGTCCCTTTAATATGAAATGCTTATGTTTTGCAGAGTGATATCTAAGATACGGTTATTGTCTTTTGATGCTGACTCATTATACGTTGGGAGGTGGAGGGTTTCCTGGGATGGCTGGCGGAGAGAAAGTCCTTGTTCTTAGCTGTGGTCGTGGTTGTTGAAAGTGTTCGGGCTGGTCGTGGTGTGGTGTACAGGTAGTTGTCCTCATGGTCGGAGTTGAGGGTATGACAGCATGCATCATTGAGGGGTCAGCTTTCGGAGGAAATGTCTCGGTCGACTGTAGTCATATTCGAGAGAACAGGCCTGCCTCGCGGAGGAAAGCCAGTAGTGCCGCTGAGCGGCAAAGATCTTCACTGAGGGCGTCTCGGATGCTGCCGGGGATGTCGAACAGGTTTCTAGCTCCTTGGTATTGCGGGCAGTGGCATATAAAGTGTTTCACCGAATAGTGGATCTGGCACAGTGGACAGGATTCGCCATTTCCCGTTATGTTGGGTGAGATACGGGTGTGTCCTGACCTAAGCCTGGAGATCACTACTTGAGAGCGGTGGCCAGGTAGGTCTTCCCAGCGGCGTGTCTCATCTTTAATTTTACGGATGAACAGATTTCGTGAGTCCAGCCAGTCCTGCTTCTAAGACTCCCATATAATTTTGGAAAACCAGGTTTTCAGATCCGGGCCTGGAACTTTTTTTGTTAATTTGCTCATTTGTCGACCTGAAGATGCGAGGTGGTCAGCTTCGACGTTACCCTGGATCCCACAGTGACTGGGTATCCAGGCAACGGTGGTGTTTGGTGGAGCAGACCGGATGATGGCTTGGATCCACGGGTGTGTGGGGTGCTCGGCGTCAAGGGCGGCTACCACGCTGGCGGAATCCGTGAACAGGACGATGGGTTTGGTAGACGGTGTGGTGATGGCGACGTAGGCGGCGGCTGCCTCGGCGGAGAACATGTTACATTGGTCAGGGAGACGGTGGCACATACTTACATCGGGGCCGGATACCCCAATTCCAGCTCTCCCTTGTGCAATCGAGCCGTCGGAATAGCGGATCGTATGGTTGTTGTAGCGACGGTATATTAGGTCCCTGTGTACTTGGGTAACGGCGAGAGGGTTAGAGCCTGCCTTAAAGGTATGCTTGATAGTTGGGTCTATGGAGATTTTGGGCAGGTTCCAACCCCTGGCTCCAACCCAGTGGACCATGGACACTGGGGGGAGCGCCTGGTCAGCAATCCTAGCGAGGAGCGGGTTTGTTTCCTCTAGGAGGAACACTCCGTCGCTCGATCCAGTAGTTTTTTTTTAGGAAGCTGACGGCTCGGTGGCAGATGGTGAGGGCGATGAGGCGGTCGAAAGGAAGGACTCCTCCCTCGACCCGGAGTTGACGGGAGTAGACCGGAGGTAGTTCGGATGGCCCTTTGATACACAGGAGTGAGTTTCTAGATGAGAGCTGTTGTGGCCATGCAGGTTAACTCGATCCCGTAAGTGTTCCCAGCGTTTTTGCCCATAGTGGTCACTAAGTCACTCTAGCTGCATACCTACATGGTCTGCCTATAAACTATACTGATAAATTAATAAATACACACTACGAAAAAGACATGTAAATTTCAGTGCCCTGAGACCGACACATGCAAGCGGCCCTTTTGACATAAGAATTAGTTGAAAAGGACGAGAAAATCAATTCAATCAAACGCACTTTTCGTCGAGCTGCATATGTTTCAGTTTCAGGATACTTAATTTTACATGCCATGTTTGTTTACGTTCCATGATTTACGTCCAAGCTGAATTACGTCTCGTTTAAAAATAATAATTTCTAAGTGTGTAGTTGTTTCAACCAACAGCCATGATTTCATCTATTTACAGTGCATCAAAAAATTGTCCTTTCCGGTGTACGCTCAAATTTGCGATACATCACTATTTAGAGCTATCCTGAAAAAATAAATTTAAAATTGGATTTTCATGAACACTTCATGAGATTATAAATTCGCTTAAATTCAAAGAGTTTTCTTCAAGTTACGAGGCAAAATGTCGTCTCTGTTTGATGAAAAAAGCAAGGGAAACCTGGCATTCAAAGTTCTCATCCTGGATTTGAGATCATATTTTTTTGCAAGCAATACTACGATGTCCTGATCGAATTTTAGACCCCATAGAGTTTCATGAAGCCCAATAACATTCAGGCACTTTATAAAATAATATCTCTGGTTTCACAAATCACCCTGCAGTTCAGATCTTGAAGTTCTACAGGTTCAACGATTTGGCTGATTTGTTTAACCTTAATCGCTTCATTAATCCCCATAACATCAGGAGAGGCATTTCGTTGTGCTCCAAATCGCATTCGGCTTCAATGTCACGTACTCACCAACTAATTGACCCGTTAAAATTCCCCGCCATTAATTAATCGAAATTTGCCTTCCGTGCACCGCGAAGTGTACCAATTTAGCATAGAACCACGCCAGCGATGTAAACGGTTTTTCTCCTCTCTGCAAGTCCAACGTCCAGCAATGGCAAACCCATAAATACCGGAGCTCCCCGGATCCGGACGGCGACGACACCGAGATTGACATTGACCGGTTCTGGCTGTTGTTGGGGGCCATTGACGATGTGACGATGATTTACTCTTGTTTGTTGAACCAGAGAGCGAGGGAAAAAAACTGAGGCAAAATCAAGAAACCGCCCTCGACAGGTTTTCCCTTTTACGAAATTGACCACATCGATCGGTCGATCGATCGATCGATTCCATCGTGATCGTCATCGTCGTCGTCGTCGCCAATGACTGTCGTGCCATATTTGGTTGGGCGAATGTGCAACCAGCTGCAACTTATAATGATGATGTCCACCGCCGGGTCCAGTTCGGGGCGCTGGGATGCGATCCGATATAGAAGAGCAAATCCACGCCAACTGACGAATAGATTTGATTTTACCCTCGCCGAATTCCATGCAACTTTGCGTAATTTTCGCCTAATTTTCCAAAAATGGTTTTGGTGATATTTTTCAATCAATCAAAGCATGAAAACGGCTCACCTAATCGAAATGACGACTGAGACAAAGTTGTATGAAACTGGAGTGCCGTTAAATAAACATTACACACTAAAAAATAATCACAAATTTTCGAAAATAAATGTTTATTTGAAAGCCTATCAAAAAACGCTAACTTTTCTAATATTGTACACAATGGACACAAAAATCGTAGAACATCGAAAAATCGAGAGGGTCAAAATGACTCAAAGTTTCCCGGAATTCGAAACGGGTAAAATCTGGAATTCATTTATTTGCTTCCCCATTTGGCGTGGATTGGCTCAGAAGCCAATTGCTGCGTACCGACCGATAGACGGTTGACAGATCGAGATCAACCCCAAGATCTCCCTCTCGAGGGGGAATCCAATCGATCGCCCAAAGGGGGAATCGATTTTTTAATTAGGAATGATTAAGCTGATTAAGTTTTTATTGTCGACGAATGGAGTTTTAATTTCTGTCTCTTGTTTTTTTCCCTTTCCCCTTTCTTTACAGACGTGGTTTTTCACCGACACCGACGATCAGCACTATCAAAAGTTGACGAGTAAGTATCGATCTCTTTGTCTTTACTGGATTTCTTCTTTCTTTCTTTCTTTTTTATGTGCGGTTGCGTTAAAAGTGTTCGATTAGACAAGTCGGGCTACGGGGGTCCCACGGTCCTAAATAGTGCCAGTGTTCAATGTCTAATGGAAGATGATTTCTTCCGAGAAGGAATTAATCACCACCGCCGATAAAAGTCATTCGAGCGTTCAAGCTAGACAAGGAGGAATAGACGTTTACGACGGTTTTAGGCTTGAATTGGGGAGAAGTTCTTGCGTACAATGTCCGCGAGAGTCATTGAGTAATTCGGTAGGGGTGCGTTTAGTAATTCGATTTGTTTACATAAACCGACTGGCCAACTGCCAGGGAGGGCAAAATTTCGCCCCATTTCAGTAATGAAATACAAGAACATAGTTAACCGAGGGACAAAAAACGATCACAGTCATAAATCATATGCCCGGTTTATGATCGGACGGGAAAGGGTCTCCGAAGCAATTTGAAGTATTTCTTTACCGTAGCTTCTAGAATTGATCATGGTCCGGCCTTCCTACTATGTTGGCGTTGGAACTGAGGAAGCGTAAAATGCTCATAAAATCCAATCAGGTTTCGCTTCGGACCCTGTCGTCCACTGAACTCCAACAACATCGAACAACCAAAACCCACATCTATGTTTTTCGATGGACCCCGAGCGAGTTTGGTTGATATATTTCTTCGCTATTTATTATTTAAAACGTCGTAAAAGTTTAATGAGAGAGACGAACGCGGCATAAATTAATAATTTGGCGCTTTGGTCCGGTGATCGTGATGCCGCCAACTGGCTCTCCCTTCCTCCCTCCCTCCATGGAATAGTGAAGAAGTGTGGTGCGTGCGAAGCAATCGATCCCGCACGGAAACTGCCAATTAATGGGGTGACAATTTATTCGAATGACCCCGCAAAAAGCTTTCAACTCGACTTGCTACCGCCAATTATTTGGTGGTGGGATTCCATCAAATTGACTTTATTGGTCTAGTGGTGGAGTGGTCGATGATTCCTGGAATCACTTATGTGCGCGACATTTTTCGCTTATCGCTGCCCGAAGATGGGTTTGGAGATTCCGGGCCCAAATTAATTCGAAAAGCCATAAAACACCCTGCCAAACGGTCAGCTTGGCGATGGGAAAATCGGACGAGAGGCTTTGTTTTATGGTAATCGGATAGTCAACCACCACTATCCGCGCCCGAAGATACGAAACGTTTGCCAGAACTGGGTGTTAATTGGCAGGGCTCGGATATTTCTACTCCGTCGGTCAAAAGTTCAGTCGCCGTCGCGATCGCCAAGTTGTGGCGGAAATCGAAGAAATCGAATTTCGAGCTTGTTTCATTATGCAAAATACACGCAACGTGGGCGTCGTTAAAATATTGTTATTGTATATTGTCGCAAGCCGGCGGTGGATCGTGGATCGGCGATGCATGCAAGGCTCGAGGAGATTCGTTTCGGTCAGTCAACCGGCGAAATCGGGCAAGGCGGAATGGGAAATGTTTGTGGTTTGCTTAAATTGATTTGATTACTTTTTAATAACTCAATGGTGACGAAGTGATTCAGTGCGGTTGACGACTGGATGGCCGTTTCAGATTGATAAAGGGTAAGTGTGCCAGTTATGGGACTAGTATTGCAGTTTTTTACCCTAGTCACTAGCTCAAATTTTAAATAAATTTGCATGGTTTTATTTACGTAAACATATGGCAAAATATATGTTCTAGCGTTGCATTGAATCCAGCTCAATTAGGAACTGGGTAGGATTGTATTGACGTGAGACTCGTTTACTCTTGAAATTCCTGGAATGATAGATTAAAGGGATTGGTTTATAGGGTTCTAGGTTCTAGATCTAAGTACTGGTCGCAGTCATCAAAATACCCAACACGGAAAAAATAGGGTTCGTTTGGGTTTTGGTCGGACGCTAAATTTAAATGATGTTCAAGTTCAGAAAGATTGAAAATTCGAATCTAACGATTGATACCATCAATCGCTCGAGATCCTGTGATAAGACATTTTTCTTGGGAGTTTTGTATGAAGTCAACAGCATAGTTGAACAACAATCTGACACGCTTGTTCTGGGTAACATGCGTGTTTAAATTTTATGTTTTTTATTATTATAAAATTAGCAAAATTGATAAAAGTAATAAAATTTATAAAATCATAAAATTCATAAAAGTTATCAAATTTAATATTTTAAAAATAAATAAAAAAAAATTAAATTATTTTAAAAAGAAAAAATATTGAAAAAAATATAAAATAAATTTAATAAGCAAAATTTAAAACATTAAACATAAGTAAAATAAAATAAATTAATTAAATTAATTGAATAAGTAAAATATTAATACTAAAATAAACAAAATAAATTAATAAGCTTAAGAAACATAACAACCTAAAAAAATAAAATAAGTAAAATAAACAAATAAAAAAACAAGTTATAATAGTTTTAAAAAATATAATAATTCAGTTCACTAAATTAAGTAAATAAATCAATCAAATAATTCAAATAAATGGAGCAACTTAAATCAATTAAATAAATTTAAGAAACTTAATATTAATGTCATAAATTAAATAATTTATACAAATAAAATAAATTAAATAAATTAAACAAATAAAATTAACAAAATAAATTAAATAAATAATGCAAATAAAATAAATGGAAGAAATCAAATAAATTAATGAAATAAACAAATCAAATAAATAAAATAAATTAAAAAATTAAAAAATCAAATCAATGAAATAAGTCAAATAAATAAATAAGATTAAATAAATTAAATAAATTTAAAATATAAAAAACCATTAAAAATAAAAAAAAATAAAAAATCAATGAAAACATAAAATAAATTAAATAAATTTAAAAAATTAAATAAATTTTATAACTTTAACAAATTAAATTAACTTGTAAATTAATATGAACAAATTAATAAATCAAATTATTAAATAAATAAGTAATTAAAAAATAAAATAAATTAAATTAATAAATAAATAAAATTAATTAAGTAAATAAAAAAAAAAAAATTAAATAACTTAAATAATGCACAATAATACACGCTGAATGTATTAAGCCGATTCCTTACCTTTTCAGCTTCAATCTGAACACATTTTTACGACTGTGCAATCCTGTTATGCCATATTTTTCTTTAAATTAAATATACACACTACAAAATACGGCTGATTTCGAGTTGCCGATAATAGAACAGCTGGTTAACACGCAGTTCAAATGGAAAGGGTGCCGAAGAAAAAGAGACTGCCGACAATAGTCTCACTCACCTGAGAAGTTTGGAGCGTTGTAAAAACATATTCAACCCGTTTTGATCAATTCTGTCGATTGGAATTGGTAGAACAGCAAGCAGCAGATAAATGTCAACAAACAAACCTGTCATGTATGTGTGTGACGCTGAGAAATATAGAAGTTCGGACGCTGCTTAGATTGACTATAAAATAAATAAAATAAATAAAATAAATAAAATAAATAAAATAAATAAAATAAATAAAATAAATAAAATAAATAAAATAAATAAAATAAATAAAATAAATAAAATAAATAAAATAAATAAAATAAATAAAATAAATAAAATAAATAAAATAAATAAAATAAATAAAATAAATAAAATAAATAAAATAAATAAAATAAATAAAATAAATAAAATAAATAAAATAAATAAAATAAATAAAATAAATAAAATAAATAAAATAAATAAAATAAATAAAATAAATAAAATAAATAAAATAAATAAAATAAATAAAATAAATAAAATAAATAAAATAAATAAAATAAATAAAATAAATAAAATAAATAAAGTAAATAAAATAAATAAAATAAATAAAATAAATAAAATATATAAAATAAATAAAATAAATAAAATAAATAAAATAAATAAAATAAATAAAATAAATAAAATAAATAAAATAAATAAAATAAATAAAATAAATAAAATAAATAAAATAAATAAAATAAATCAAATAAATCAAATAAATAAAATAAATAAAATAAATAAAATAAATAAAATAAATAAAATAAATAAAATAAATAAAATAAATAAAATAAATAAAATAAATAAAATAAATAAAGTAAATAAAATAAATAAAATAAATAAAATAAATCAAATAAATAAAATAAATAAAATAAATAAAATAAATAAAATTAATAAAATTAATAAAATTAATAAAATTAATAAAATAAATAAAATAAATAAAATGAATAAAATGAATAAAATAAATAAAATAAATATAATAAATTAAATGGGTTTAATGAATAAAATAAATAAAATAAATTACATCAACAAAATAAATAAAACAAATAAAATAAATATAATAAAATAAATATGTACAAAAAATAAAAATAAATAAACAAATATAAATAAAATCAATAAAATCATTAAACTTAATAAAATAAATCAAAAAAATAAAATAAATAATATAAGTCAAATAAATAAAATGAATAAAATAAATAATATCAATGAAATATATTAAATAAATATAATAAATATAATAAATACATTTAATAAAATAAATTAAATGAATCTAATGAATAAAATAAATAAAAATAAATAAAATAAACAAAATAAATAAAAATTAATAAAATAAACAAAATAAATAAAAAAATAGAAAAAAATAAAAAAATGAAGTAAATAAAATAACTCAAATAAATTAAATAAATAAATAAATAATATAAATAAATAAATAATATAAATTAAATTAATAAATTTAATAACTTACACAAATTAAATAAATAAATAAATAAAAAAAATATTAATTTTAAAATTAAACGATCTACATAAATTAAATAAATAAAGTAAAATAAATAAAAAAAAATAAACAAAAAAACATTAACTCAACTAAACGAATAACATAAAATAAAATAATTCAATAAGTGAAATAAATGAAGTCAATAATATAAATTAATTAATTTAATTAAATAAATTTTAAAAAATTAATAAAATTAAATCGATAAAAAAAAATAAAAAAAATAAAATAAGATAAATAAATTA